TGGGTTGGGCCCGCTGGTGCAGCAGTACTCCAGAGAGGAGGTCTCCCGGTCTGCGTGGACGGGGCAGCTCTCTGTGCAGCCGTCTGTGCTGAGTGTCCACTCAAGCGTGGCGCAGTCTGTCAGCTCGCCGTGGGCGGCGGTGTTCCTAGCCCACCACGTTCTTCGGGAAATATCATTGCGTTCGATGTCTTTCGGTCCTCCTCCGTAGTCGACCCATTTCACTGGCCAGCTGCAGTTGCCAGCCGCCTCCAGAGTCCTGACTGCACAGCAGAGCGTCAGGAAGAAGGGGAAAAGGAGCAAAGAATGTCTACTTGCGGGTTCCATGCGAACGCGGTCGGTATATAATGTATAGCTGCTTGCTCGTGACTGGCCGCTGAATGGGTTTTATGCATTATTCATTGTCACTGCGCAGTCAGTAGTTGCCACTAAGGCTATATATATTCGGTTTTTTTGAAGAGCTTGGATTTGGGCCCTGTGCTGCATACAATGTGTGATTATTAATTGGCGCGACAACGTAACTGCTCAACTCACTAATTAGTAACCTTCCCCTCTGCCATCACCAGCGATCGTACACTTGTCATTTAACGAGGTGTTTCTATGTTTACGTTAGCAACGAGGTGTTTTTATGTTTACGTTTTCTTCGTAGCCTTTCCTCTTGTGGATTATGGTTTGAGCATATTGTGCAGCAACTTCGACAGACTATGTGGAGTACCATTGCTACTCCTGGGTGTAGGAGGGACCTTTCTGAGTTATGCTGCCAAAAACTTGTGGACTCTATGCAGCAATTAGGGGGTGTTTAATTTCCGCTTCTGGAACTTACACTTGATTCTTAACTTCCCATACTACGAACATTACTCGGCACATAATCGGCCATCTCATCTTCGCAGGTTGTGGGGAAGACAGTTTATTAAATAAATACAGAGCATCAGAGTGTGACAGAGATGAATAATTATTATAGCTCCTTAAACCATCGTCTCATGAGAGCAGAGACTGCAGCATACACCACCGCAGCTCCTCCCACCCCAATCATGTGTCCATTGAACGCCTGTGAAGTCCTTCTTCCTCCGCTAGTACTGTTACTGTTAGTGCCACTGGATCTTCGAGGTATAGGAAGACTCCCCGATCTGCTCAGATGCCCCTCCAATTCCACTCTGTTATTAAGTGACAATTATAGTGCAACCCAACCCAGTATGAGGTTGTAAAAATTGTAGCTAGCTACATGTCAGCTACATGAAAAACAGGTACGGGAAAAATCAGTAACCTTGACTGTGGACTGATTAGACTTCGAGCGCTAAGTCTAGCTAGTATGATTGATCACTGCACTGACTGTGTGCGGGACAGACCTAGCTAGCTATAATAATATACCGGATTGGATCGCTTGGCTCCGGTCTCCGGTAATGTTCGTCCATCTAGCGGGATGGAGGTGACAGCCGTTGACTCCGCGGCATGACAGCTTCAGAGGGTCTCCCCTGACTGCATCCATCACCAGACACGGCGTCTCATTCTCGTGGGAAGCTGGGGCATAATAATATTACGAGCTGGTTACCGCCAAAACCACATAAGGAATGCAAGCGCACTAGCTCAGCTACATAGCTAAGTCTTATACCTGCAGAGGCGCCAGGTCTCATCTACAGCGTCGTTGTAAAGAGTAGAAGTACAATGAGATGTCTTGTAGCCGTATTCTTCACACAAATTACGAGCGAATTATTATAGCGTAATTCCTGCCGCCGCCCCCATTTTTGTACTAATTCCGGCAAGCTGCGCATGCGCGTGTCCCTGCAAAGATCACATTGTAGGGACTATGGTAACTGTAAAGTGACAATGACAGTGACACTCATAAATTAGCATAATGGCTACAGTATGGAGAAAGTGAAATCTACACAAAAACATCAGCTAGCTATCTTTCTCTTGAAAACAGAGAGCCTAGACTGCCCTAGCGGTGGTCTGATGGAGGGTGTTAGGGGCTCCTGCCCTCCACCAATGATCCCTGAATATCTCTGGCCCCTCGTCTTCCTCCAGGACCTTCTCTTAACCAGAACCCCCCAGGTCCCGAGTCCTGCCACCATCACCAGACACATGAGGACTGCCACACTGCGGAGAGAACTAGCTGGTGTCTGGTCCAGTGAGTTAGAGCCACCGCCTCTCCCAGCACCAGTGATTGTACCTCCATCAACATCCATACTGGCTTCTGTTGTGTGTGTGTGTGTGTGACATCTGTGATATCGTGATGTAATACATACCTATCTGCTACCTAGTGTCCCAGGTTCATACAGTCTTCCTGTTGCTACCACAAAATCCTTATTGCATCATCTGTTACTAAACTTAGACACACACCATTCCGGTAGTCGACTTTTATCCATGCTTCTTGAGTCTCCTCAATGTTGTACTGGGAGCTGAGCTGGCAGAGGTACGGCCCGATATCTGACTGCTCCACTGCCTCCATCTCCAAACGAAACACTGTCACCTGGTTGCTCAATACCGACGATGTCATGCGATATTTCCCTCCCTCCTCCTCCAGCAGTTCCCCACCGGCCCACCAAGTCACGAGGCTCTCTGTGTCGGGAGAAGTCTGAACTACACATGACAGGTGGCCTCCTTTCCCAAACTCCGTCTCCCGATGCAGTGCATACTCTGTCGTGTACGCGATGGATGGAGGATCTGCAATGTGCATAGTTAGAACTCAATTGTGATGCATGGGGGCTATTTAAAAACATCTACTTGATATAACTCACACCGCCACTGCTCCCTCCGCTTTTGCTGGAGCGCTCCTTCACCGAATGACTCTTCTTCTTTGGTAGTGTCCTAGTAGTCTTGCTGGCTGCGGATGAGCCCATCTGGTGGGTACAAAATATACTTGGTATGTAGGGAAAATTCATTGCACTTATAGCACGGCCCAAAGGAACAAGTCTTTTCGTTTTTGCAGCATACACACGTAATATTATGCAAGACATACTTGAGTAATCTTCTGATAGAAAGAGAGTAGTGAGTGCACATCAACATCCACTGGGGTACCCTCTTTCTGCATGGTATGTATACACATCTGTGGAAATTAGGGGGTCTTTAATTTCCGCTTCTGGAAAGAACTAAACTTACACTTACAATAATTGATTCTTAACTTCCCATACTACGAACATTACTCGGCACATAATCGGCCATCTCAACTTCGCAGGTTGTGGGGAAGACAGTTTATTAAATTTAAATTAAAGTTGGTTGCATATAATGAGAGAGAAGCAACTGAACCCGTGCTTGCTTCATTGTGTTGGCTCTGTAGAACCACTTTTCTTGCAGGTGTATATACTGCGCACCGAAACAGACAAATTATATTTAAAACAGTGGACAAAAAAAGTCAAGGACACTGTAATTTGTGCTTCAGTCAACAGCCTCTAATTTGTGCCACATTGATCCTAGTGCACACTCATTCATCTTTTTGCACTCTCATCGATCTTTGGGAATGTGATTTTAATGGCAGATCCATTGATCCACCGGGTGTATACTGGCATCAAGCTGGTGCAATTTGCACTGGACTTTTCCTTGAATTCCAGGAGAGTTCACGAGCCAGATGCATCGCTCCATCCCCACAAAGTCTGTATATACGTAGGCAAAAATGAATAAAAAGGACGTGTATTTTTTGCTGGACTTGTATCAAACAACAACCAACACAGATGATGATAGAGACTGTCAGTAATAATGTCTCTCAAGATGGCGACACAACGATCCACAACCAAACAAAAGTCCAACCTTTTCCAACAGCTGCCTGCTAATGCAAGCTCGCTAGCCTTCCCCCTTTGTCAATGTTAAACCTTTTTCTATAAACTTGTACCTTGGTATCCTTCATAATCCCTGTGGCTTGGTTACAATGAGAGGAAAGTAATTCACAACTGCACATGTTCTGTGGATGTGGATGTGCCTCATCTAAAATGCTTATGTCTTGTGTGAAAAGTGACTTCTTGGACTCAAGTAGCAAGTCAAGTTCAGTCAGTAGTTGCCACTAAGGTCATCAAGCTATATATATTCAGCAGGCAGTGAGCAAGGAGGGTGGGATCAAAAGAGGGGACAAAGGCCAGGGGCAGCAGAGGAAAGAGAGGTGGGGCGCAGGAAACCAGTGGGGGCCAAGGGAAAGAAGAGGAGGAGTGGGGGAAGCACCAGGAGAAGGGGAGAGGGGGGGGGTGTAGGGAAGGAGAGTTCACGAGCCGATGCATCGCTCCATCCCCACAAAGTCTGTATATACGTAGGCAAAAATGAATAAAAAGGACGTGTATTTTTTGCTGGACTTGTATCAAACAACAACCAACACAGATGATGATAGAGACTGTCAGTAATAATGTCTCTCAAGATGGCGACACAACGATCCACAACCAAACAAAAGTCCAACCTTTTCCAACAGCTGCCTGCTAATGCAAGCTCGCTAGCCTTCCCCCTTTGTCAATGTTAAACCTTTTTCTATAAACTTGTACCTTGGTATCCTTCATAATCCCTGTGGCTTGGTTACAATGAGAGGAAAGTAATTCACAACTGCACATGTTCTGTGGATGTGGATGTGCCTCATCTAAAATGCTTATGTCTTGTGTGAAAAGTGACTTCTTGGACTCAAGTAGCAAGTCAAGTTCAGTCAGTAGTTGCCACTAAGGTCATCAAGCTATATATATTCAGCGTTTTTGAAGAGCTTGGATTTGGGCCCTGCGACACATACAATGTGTGATTATAAATTGGCGCGACAACGTAACTGCTCAACTGACTAATCAATAACCTTCCCCTCTGCCACCACCAGCGATTGTACACTTGTCATTTAACGAGGTGTTTCTATGTTTTACGTTAGCATCTAGGTGTTTCTATGTTTACGTTAACAATTGTTTTTCTTCGTAGCGTGGCTACACTGTGTGTTTCGATGTTACATTTGGTACTTGATGCAGGGTAGCAAACTTTTGGCAGATCCGGTAAACCCCTCTGTTTTGCCAAGTTTGCTTCGTAAACCCTCTCAAGTAGTGTATAAATCTTTCCAAGAATTGTCCTAGCTGTAGCTATCTCATTTTACTCAGATAATTTCTTTGGTGAATTTAATAATAGAGCTTGATGTATAAAACAAAGGTCTTTTTCTGAAAACTTGTGGACTCTATGCATCACCTTCAGTACCCTATTGACTGAGGTCACCCTACATAATTTTTACAAAGTATGTAATGTGTACACACATCCTAATTTGCAATGTATGTACATGTCCAGATCTTGCTGTGTACATACATTACTATTACTGCATGTTTGGTAAAAGCAGAGCACCTGAGAATGAAAATGCCATGGATATGGAGTGAAAATTCATAGCACGGCCCAAAGGAACAAGTCTTTTCGTTTTTGCAGCATACACACCTAATATTATGCAAGACATACTTGAGTAATTTCTAAATTTAGCCCTTATATATAATATATATTTGGTTGGCGGGGACGGCGGCTGGGTTGGGCCCGCTGGTGCAGCAGTACTCCAGAGAGGAGGTCTCCCGGTCTGCGTGGACGGGGCAGCTCTCTGTGCAGCCGTCGGTGCTGAGTGTCCACTCAAGCGTGGCGCAGTCTGTCAGCTCGCCGTGGGCGGCGGTGTTCCTAGCCCACCACGTTCTTCGGGAAATATCATTGCATTCGATGTCTTTCGGTCCTCCTCCGTAGTCGACCCATTTCACTGGCCAGCTGCAGTTGCCAGCCGCCTCCAGAGTCCTGACTGCACAGCAGAGCGTCAGGAAGAAGGGGAAAAGGAGCAAAGAATGTCTACTTGCGGGTTCCATGCGAACGCGGTCGGTATATAATGTATAGCTGCTTGCTCGTGACTGGCCGCTGAATGGGTTTTATGCATTATTCATTGTCACTGCGCAGTCAGTAGTTGCCACTAAGGCTATATATATTCGGTGTTTTTGAAGAGCTTGGATTTGGGCCCTGTGCTGCATACAATGTGTGATTATTAATTGGCCCGACAACGTAACTGCTCAACTCACTAATCAGTAACCTTCCCCTCTGCCATCACCAGCGATCGTACACTTGTCATTTAACGAGGTGTTTCTATGTTTACGTTAGCAACGAGGTGTTTTTATGTTTACGTTTTCTTCGTAGCCTTTCCTCTTGTGGATTATGGTTTGAGCATATTTTGCAGCAACTTCGACAGACTATGTGGAGTACCATTGCTACTCCTGGGTGTAGGAGGGACCTTTCTGAGTTATGCTGCCAAAAACTTGTGGACTCTATGCAGCAATTAGGGGGTGTTTAATTTCCGCTTCTGGAACTTACACTTGATTCTTAACTTCCCATACTACGAACATTACTCGGCACATAATCGGCCATCTCATCTTCGCAGGTTGTGGGGAAGACAGTTTATTAAATAAATACAGAGCATCAGAGTGTGACAGAGATGAATAATTATTATAGCTCCTTAAACCATCGTCTCATGAGAGCAGAGACTGCAGCATACACCACCGCAGCTCCTCCCACCCCAATCATGTGTCCATTGAACGCCTGTGAAGTCCTTCTTCCTCCGCTAGTACTGTTACTGTTAGTGCCACTGGATCTTCGAGGTATAGGAAGACTCCCCGATCTGCTCAGATGCCCCTCCAATTCCACTCTGTTATTAAGTGACAATTATAGTGCAACCCAACCCAGTATGAGGTTGTAAAAATTGTAGCTAGCTACATGTCAGCTACATGAAAAACAGGTACGGGAAAAATCAGTAACCTTGACTGTGGACTGATTAGACTTCGAGCGCTAAGTCTAGCTAGTATGATTGATCACTGCACTGACTGTGTGCGGGACAGACCTAGCTAGCTATAATAATATACCGGATTGGATCGCTTGGCTCCGGTCTCCGGTAATGTTCGTCCATCTAGCGGGATGGAGGTGACAGCCGTTGACTCCGCGGCATGACAGCTTCAGAGGGTCTCCCCTGACTGCATCCATCACCAGACACGGCGTCTCATTCTCGTGGGAAGCTGGGGCATAATAATATTACGAGCTGGTTACCGCCAAAACCACATAAGGAATGCAAGCGCACTAGCTCAGCTACATAGCTAAGTCTTATACCTGCAGAGGCGCCAGGTCTCATCTACAGCGTCGTTGTAAAGAGTAGAAGTACAATGAGATGTCTTGTAGCCGTATTCTTCACACAAATTACGAGCGAATTATTATAGCGTAATTCCTGCCGCCGCCCCCATTTTTGTACTAATTCCGGCAAGCTGCGCATGCGCGTGTCCCTGCAAAGATCACATTGTAGGGACTATGGTAACTGTAAAGTGACAATGACAGTGACACTCATAAATTAGCATAATGGCTACAGTATGGAGAAAGTGAAATCTACACAAAAACATCAGCTAGCTATCTTTCTCTTGAAAACAGAGAGCCTAGACTGCCCTAGCGGTGGTCTGATGGAGGGTGTTAGGGGCTCCTGCCCTCCACCAATGATCCCTAAATATCTCTGGCCCCTCGTCTTCCTCCAGGACCTTCTCTTAACCAGAACCCCCCAGGTCCCGAGTCCTGCCACCATCACCAGACACATGAGGACTGCCACACTGCGGAGAGAACTAGCTGGTGTCTGGTCCAGTGAGTTAGAGCCACCGCCTCTCCCAGCACCAGTGATTGTACCTCCATCAACATCCATACTGGCTTCTGTAGTGTGTGTGTGTGTGTGTGTGTGTGTGTGACATCTGTGATATCGTGATGTAATACATACCTATCTGCTACCTAGTGTCCCAGGTTCATACAGTCTTCCTGTTGCTACCACAAAATCCTTATTGCATCATCTGTTACTAAACTTAGACACACTCTAGCTTCCGCCGTGCGCGCAGATTCGTAGGCAGTCTGGCTTCGCGCGCAGTCAGTAGAGCGCGCGCACGAGCGGCCTCAGTACAGTAGCACTGTTTACGCATTGGCTGGCAGGCGCGAGGCAAAATATGCGCGTGCGCATTCCTAGTAATATAGATGACATCATACCAGCTTGTGACATGACTATTAGCAGAATCTTCCAAACCCTCAGCAATACTGCCAAGTGCAGCACAACCAATGCATGCATGGTAAACACAATCCCTAACACCGGCTTGGTTACAATGAGAGGAAAGTAATTCAAAACTGCACATGTTCTGTGGATGCATGTGCCTCATCTAAAATGCTTATGGAAAGTGACTTCTTGGACTCAAGTAGTTCAGTCAGTAGTTGCCACTAAGGCTATATATATTCAGTGTATTTGAAGAGCTTTGATTTGGGCCCTGTGCTGCATACAATGTGTGATTATTAATTGGCCCGACAACGTAACTGCTCAACTCACTAATCAGTAACCTTCCCCTCTGCCACCACCAGCGATCGTACACTTGTCATTTAACGAGGTGTTTCTATGTTTACGTTTTCTTCGTAGCCTTTCCTCTTGTGGATTATGGTTTGAGCATATTTTGCAGCAACTTCGACAGACTATGTGGAGTACCATTGCTACTCCTGGGTGTAGGAGGGACCTTTCTGAGTTATGCTGCCGTTGTCACGTTTGCGCGTTAGAGTTGTATGCTGGATTTAGAAGTGAGTCATTTATACAGTGTGTAGGGTAACCACTGCCACACAGTGCAACTCGGGTGTATTGAATTTTTTATTAATAATGGATGCTTCTTCCTTCACCCGCTGCTTAGGCTGCGTGACTCCCATCATTTAATGATACTAGAGAAATGTACACTTGTCATTTAAAGACTCCACACCACTCCTTTCCCACAAACCCCAGCAGTTGTTGGGCGAGTCCATTAACACGAGGTCTTTTTCTGTTTACGTTCGTGATAGTTTTCTTCATAGCCTTTCCTCTTGTGGATTATGGTTTGGGCGTACCTTGCAGCAACTTCCACAGATGGTGTGGAGTATATTCCGCATCAGGCACACTTGATGGGGATCGTTTAGTCCTGTTATTTGCTGCTGCTTCAGACTATTTAATTTTACTCCTGGGCGGAGGAGGGACAGTCCTCAGTGGAGAAGGGACAAGCCTGGGTTCTCCTCCGCCCTCTGCTTATGTCTCGTCGATCTCTTGTAATCACGCGTCCCACTGTGATACAACTCTGTTCCATTTTCACATTTGCTGAAGCCATCACGTCCATGAAGTTCTAACACCTACCCACCAGTGCAAATACTAGAAGAATGTTGAACATTGTTGGCGAGCGGGAGCGACCCAACTTGGGATTTGACCGCGATGTTCGGGCTGCATAACGTGCCGTCAGCGCACAGCTTTCCTTTCGTGAAGCAAGACAGAGCTACCTGTCGCCGTTTACATGCGTACTGTATATTGGCAGAACGGTGAGCAGAACGGTCCTTACCTTAGGCTTTCGGTTCGTCTGTCGTGGTCCACCAGGCAGCTGGCATGGCAGTAGGCTAGGCAGCGATCGATCGGGCTGCCCGACAACGCGGCGTGTGTTAGCTGGTCCACCAGGTAGCTGGCATGCAGCAGTATGTGCACGAGCAATCCTAGCGTATTTGCACGTTGCAGCTTGGAACCATGAAGATTGGGAAGAGGTACAGCCTCGGTCAGTCACCGAAGGTTGCAGCGCATGCCGTCGAATGGAGGAGAGTTCTCTAGCTGGCTATATAGACCGATTGGCGCATATCGCGAGGCACCGTGTGTGAAAATGTGTAAAAAATTTGGAAATAATTTCCGATAAAAAGAAGCGCGTTCAGCACTTACACGACGTACGACGACGGTCGTAGATATATATATATAGAAAATTCCGCTCGAACGAACGACTAGGTTGGCTCGCTCCCGCTCGCCAATTATCACTATTTCTGTCTTTTGTCACTATCGCATTGTGTATTGCCCGAAGAGGGCAGAAATGATGCTTTGACTTTGATTTTTTACTTTACAGAGCTGCAGGAGGGGGAACCAACTGCCCAGACAGTCTCTCACCACTGGACTCCGAGCAGCATCCCTCGAGTTTATCACCTCCGGTGCCGACTCTAACCAACTCGTGTGCTTTTCCGCTCAAGGACGATTCTGTTCAGTGACGTCTCATCAACTCAAACTGTGCCCCATTATTTCCGAGTGTTCTGTCCCATGTCTCCAGGAGTGCTATCTCTCTCTTTCTGATGGGGAACGCTCCGTCGTAAGGCTGCTGACTCAAACTCTCCTCTGCCTTTGCTCGTGCTATTTCGGCCACGGTACCAGGCATGGGGCTTCATCTGGATGTAATTCTTTGGTATGAGCCCGTCCTTCCCGTCCTGCTCGGCCTCATTCTACTGCAATTCTACTGCCATTCTACTGTCCCTTCTACTGTATGGCAATACTGGAGGCCTTTAAGCCTGATGATATAACACCACCCAGTGGGCACACCCCTCCCTTCATTGAGGTGCTCCAGTTGTGTGTGTTCAAGGCCTAGAGTGGAATAAATTTTAGAGTAAGTGTATGTCGGGTCTGCCACTCAATTTGTCTGCACGTGGAGGTGCACACCAGCAATAGTGTTAATGTGCACAGTAGGCAGGCCCTCCCATGCAGTCTTGTCTTTCCACCATTCCCATGACCATTTTCCCCCGTTAGGATCAACCATCTTTACCTGAACCTCTAACTTTCGGCAGTCAATTACACCTTTTAGAAAGATCAACTATATGTTTGTACTTCTTACTCTTTCCTTCCCCGTACCCTTTTTCTTTCTTTTCTCTCCTCCCTTTCCCTCTCCTTTTCCACAGTAGAACCACAGTCAGAATAGTGCCCTTCCAAACTGAGAGCAGATTGAAACTAAAAGTGTGAGTTCCTCTTTCATCTCTTTCCCATTTTGTTTCCCTTATAATCTTTCACTCCAGTTTGGTATCAGTTTACCATTCCACACAAGTCTAGTCTGGTCTAATGACTTTAATCAGTTTGAATTGAGAAATCGGCCCAAGCAAGTTCAGTGGAGTCGTCTTTCAGTAAGACTCTACGCATGCATGTGTTGGTATGCATGACTCCTCTGAACAAAAGGCTTACTGAGGTGGTGGAATCCCACTGGTAGAGCTGAAATCTTCTTTCCTTTCTACCTTTGTTCCTCTCCTTCTGACTTACGCACTCAACACCATTCTTTCACTCTACCAGACGTGAGATCGGGAGCGACATGCGCAGATTAATTAATCTGAGGTAACCCGGTGAAGAATGCTATCTCTGCCAGCGCTCATGCACTCATATTCCTCTGTTTTGAACACAAAGCCGGTAAAACCTGCATATGTTTCTGTGTTCACACTCTCTCCTCTGACCTCTCCCCTCTCTCCCAGGCTTACCAGGAAGGAAGAGCTACCCTCGAAACATGCGTCTGAACAAACTACTCACCTGAAGTACAAGTCTTCTCTATGGGGTATGCATCAGTACAAACAATGATGACATGGTAATTTGCGTGTCTGTTAGAGGGGAATCACATCCGCAAGTGGGGATGATAGTCGTAATATGTAGAGGTGTCCCGGTTAGTGAAGTTTCCTGCTCTCAGGTGTCCTGATGAGTGAAGTGTCCTGCTCTCAGGTGTCCTGATTACTGAGGTGTCCTGCTCTCAGGTGTCCTGATTACTGAGGTGTCCTTGGATTACAACTGATTGCATAAAGATTGTGGGGTCAAAGGTCGGCTATAGTATCTGATCCAGTCCAAATCGTGCGCATGTGCAGTTAGTTCAATTCAAATTGCCGGTGTGCACTATATAGAGGGCTTCCTTGACAAACGTGGATCAGGTGAGTACTATACGTCCTGAGCGCATACACTGTTTACATATTTACCCTCTCTGGGAACAAGAGGGGAGGCCCAAATGGGGTGGTAGATCTCGAAATGTGCTGACTATTATACTCCTCTCTCTCTCTCCCTTCCTTCCTCCTCTCTCCCTCCCCCTCTCCTCCCTCTTCCTTGTACATATAGTCTGAACGGAGCTAAGGAATAGAGCCCTTCACTAACCACTCTGCCGATGCTAAAGGCCACTAGTAAGTTGAGTCTGCATTCAGTGTTTGACCTAGAAGTTCTTGCAAGAGGTTGGTCAATGTCATGTGATATATAGACCTGATGTCAGCTATATATCACATGACATAACCTTTTGAGCACTTAAATCCACTCGCAATAGTTGCTAGAGCTCTCTGTAGGCAGCCATGTCAATCGGGCGGGTACTCTGCATGATGCGAGAAAGAGAAAATTCTGTAGTTTGCAACCTTCTTTATCAACCAAACTGCGAAATTGTAATTGCCGTTGCCATTTGTACCATGGGGACTTGACTCGTCTCTCCCTTTCCCTTGTCGTCCTCTTTTCCTCTCTCTACCTCTATCTCTGTCTGTCCGTCTCTCTGGTTCCATTCAGCAGAAGAAGGTTCCTGGTTCAACCAACAGGTCTACTACTGTCCTGTCACTGGCCAATAACTATGGAGAGCCCTAGTGGTGGGTCTTTATCTATTATGGAGTTTGCATGTGGCAGCTCCGGCCCACACATATAGCATCGCAAGACTCATTGTCTGGATCCATAATTATTATGTCCTATTTTGTATGTGTAAGGGCTTTGTGCTATATAGCACATGCTCTATGAGTGATTGTGGCTAGGTTGCCGGCGCAGTAGACATACACACTCGTATGCACTAGCCTCGTCCCCAGCCTCTTTTGTGAGAGGGGAAAAGAGCCTGGTGCAGACTGTATGCACATGCATTTATAATTGAACAAGGAATTCTGTGGCCTCCGGATACTTTTGCTGCATGTCCATATCCAATGAGTCTGGTGATGCTGTATACAAACAAAACAACAACAAGCCTCGTCCTAGGGTTACTTTTCCAAACCCAAAACTTACGTCTGAACACTCCTGAGCCAAGGCTATCGTATGCACATGTCTTTCTACACACTCTGGTCACCATCGGAGACAGTGGTGTAGATGTGTACTTACACACATGGCAGACATTGAATGACATTAGTTTCTACTGTAATTGGTGAGTGGCACGGAGATCAGAGAAACACTACACGTACTGCTGGTTGTAGGTATGTAGAACTGAGCCTAAAAGGACCGTCCAGTAATGCCTGTGTAAGACAGCTTGTGACTGTCTCAGCACAGGTAGGGCAGTGGGCGCCACATTCTGCGTTGCTGTGGGTCACACTTTCACGTGCACAATGTATCCTGTAACCATAGCTCCATGCCTCATATTCTTGCCCTTATCCTTACTACTAAAGTACAGCAATACAGGACATTATAGTGTGGCTCTGTGGTCTATGGTCAACTGCAGGTTAGAACCTGCTGCTGTTTGTGAGGCCACTCCCATATAGATTGGCAGCAATGACAAAAACCACAACAGTTCCTGCTCACTTTTAGTATATAAGGGAGGGCTAGCATCCCTGGCTAAGCTGGCATTTCTTGCTAACTAAATAATAGGTTTTGGGGAGGGCCTATAATTTTTGGAGGCCGTTAGCCCGGATGATGGCCCTGTAACACCACCCAGTGGGCACACCCCCCTCCCTTCATTGGGGTGCTCCAGTTGTGTGTGTTCAAGGCCTAGGGTTAATGGCCACTGAATTTTATTACACAATGCAGGTTGGTGCCCCTCCCTGGACTCCTACCTTGTGTGGGGGAGTCCCTCCTTCCTGCCTGGTGCAGGAGTACCCCACACACTTATTCTGTGGCTTTCCCCTCCTCTCTTCCCTTACAGGCTAGTGTGTGAGTCTGAGCATGTCGTTCGTATGTATTTTGTACAAAATAGAGGGGGAAAACCTTGTGTCCAAGATGCCTAGGATTGTGCAATTGAGTTTTAGTAGTCAGCCTAACTGTCCTGACCTACATTGCCGCTATCTTGTGTAGCACAAGCAGCTCTGCTCAACATTGCTACTGGTGAGCTACAAATTTCGTAATACGTACACCAAAATCCACTGCTACCTCATAAGGACATGTCCATTCTGTCTGTTAGTGTTATATGTTCTCTTGTGCATGGTTTTTTTGTAAGCCAGTGTCGTTTGATATCTGCAGCTTTAAAGAAGACACCTGCACCATTCTAAATTTAGTACATATAAAATGTTTCTATATATACTCACTGATGTCATAGCATGTTAATGCAGTTTTGTGAGTGATTTTATGTCGAAATTCTGCGATGTCCATATTCTGCAGGTTCCTTTCTGACTGATGATATACGGAGGCTTGTGTATTCCTAACTACTCGACATTGAACGGCTAAGCTAAAACTAGGTATGCTACAATCTACCACACTACTAGTATGCAGTGCCATATCTTGCATTTAGGGTATGCAGGGGGTAGTTTCCCTCATCAGTACAGATATTATTGTATCCACAGTTTTGTGACAGAAAGGTCTGTTTCACACTAAGTAGGCATCAGATTGTCGCAAAACAACACCTGTCTCCCTCCCTAAATGCTCCATGCTCTGATATTGTTGTTGTCAATAAACTGATTAGTGAAGTGTCCTGCTCTCAGGTGTCATGATTAGTGAGATGTCCTTGGATTACAACTGCATAAGGATTGTGGCATGCCGGCCGGCCTATATGGATCAAAGATCGGCTATAGTATCTGATCCGGTCAAAATCGTGCGCATGTGCAGTTCAATTCAAATCGTCGGTGTGCACTATATAGAGAGCTTCCTTGACACACGTGAGTACTGTACGTCCTGAGTGCATACACTGTTTACATATTTGCCCTCTCTGGGAACTATATAGAAGGGAGGGCCCAAATGGGGTGGTAGATCTCGAAACCATGCTTCATGTATCCAATCCCCATCTTGTCTCCCTTTCTTTTTATACCATCCCTATATGCCTCTTTTTTTAAATTCGCAGGATTTTTAATCTACTTGTCTCCACTCATTTTTATATACTACTACGTAGGGCAAGCCCCTATAAAAAAATCAATAATAGAGAAAAAATGCCTGTTGTCGTGATGGAAATAATATGCATACCATGTTTCATCTCCATGTGTGCTGCCGTTAGCAAGTTGGAGGAGTGAAGAAGTAATTTTAAAGAAAAGTGCCTGAGGCTATAATTTGTTGTTGTGGTCGTCATGGAAACGATGTAATACACATGCGTACCAAGTTTCACCTCCATGCGTGCTACAGTTTGAGGAGTGAAGAAGTTAAAGTAAAGTGCCTGAGGCTATGGTTGTCATGGAAATAGTTTAGTATCAAGTTTCACCTCCGTACATGCTACAGTTAGCAAGTTTGAGGAGTGAAGAAGTAATTATAAAGAAAATCGTCTGAGGTTTCTTCAAACAGTATGCGGTCATCATGGAAACATGTAGTTGTCATGGTATAATAGGCATATGTACCAAGTTTCATATCTATGCGTCCTACAATTACGGAGTGTGAGACGTGAAGAAGTAAATTTAAAGAGGCAATTTGTTGTTGGGTCGTCATGGAAACGATGTTACACACATGCGTGCCAAGTTTCATCTCCATGCGTGCTACAGTTAGCAAATTTTGAGGAGTGAAGAAGTAATTTTAATGAAAAGTGCCTGAGGCATTTTGTTGTTGTGGTCGTCATGGAAACGATGTAATACACATGTGTACCAAGTTTCACCTCCATGCATGCTACAATTAGCAAGTTTGAGAGTGAAGAAGTAATTTAAAGAAAATTGCCTGAGGCCTTTTCGAACAATATGCGATCGTCATGGAAACATGTAATCGTCATGGAAATGATATAATAGGCATACGTACCAAGTTTCATCTCTATGCGTGCTACCATTTGGAAAGTTTGAGAAGGGAAGAAGTTAATTTAAAGAAAAGTGCCTGAGGCTATTTGTGTGTTATTTTACAAACATGTATGGTTATGATTTAGATGTTGCTATTGAATACATGTGTATACAAACTTCGCTCACGTAACTCTTACCAATTGTGAGTTACACTGACACATGTAGTATGGCCCATTATAACGTATTGCCCATTATAATGGACACTTT